TATCTGGAATATGATTGGGGTAATATATTCTTTACCACTTTCTGCCCAAGGACATCCATGGTCATCCTTGAGTTTCAGTGGTTATACCAGGATGATGCCTGCAGCTACAAGCATCATCCCAGTATCAAAATTTGCAGCCGGTGATGCTCTTTCAGGCAGATGTGATTTGAGTGGCTGACCAGCCACTCCATCACTTCTACAGGCGGTGGAAAGAGGTCACCCTACCTTCCACCGCCTTTCCTGGGCTCTCCCATCCAACCGCGGAGTCCGGGAGCGCTGCGACTAGCAGCAATGGTGGCCCTGCACAGAAAGAGAGGAAGTGACATTGTTGTTCCCTCTCTGTGACCGCAGAAATGACAATGATTTAGTTCTGGTTTGGCTCTCTGTTTACCTGGCCATCAGTAGCCAGGAAAGAAGTCAATCAGATCGATCGGCAAAGAAGGCCAAAGGAGAGATTTGGGGTCTAATAGACCCCAGATCTCTCCATAAATAGGACCTGTCACAGCCCATGCTGTCACAAGGGATGCTGTTCATCCCTTGTGGTAGCAATAAAGTAAATATAAAAAAAATAAAGAGATAGTGTAAAAAAAATTTTTTTTAGATAAAATAAGTTTAAAAAATGTAAAGCGCCCCTGTCCCCCCAGCTTACACATGTAAATCGCCCCTGTCCCCCCATTCTTACACATGTAAAGCGCCCCTGTCCCCCCATGCTTTCACATGTAAAGCACCCCTGTCCCCCCATGCTTTCACATGTAGAGCACCCCTGTCCCTCCATGCTTTCACATGTAAAGCACCCCTGTCCCCCCATGCTTACACATGTAAAGCGCCCCTGTCCCCCCATGCTTTCACATGTAAAGCACCCCTGTCCCCCCATGCTTACACATGTAAAGCGCCTCTGTCCCCCCATGCTTTCACATGTAAAGCACCCCTGTCCCTCCATGCTTACACATGTAAAGCGCCCCTGTCCCCCCATGCTTTCACATGTAAAGCACCCCTGTCCCCCCATGCTTACACATGTAAAGCGCCCCTGTCCCCCCATGCTTTCACATGTAAAGCACCCCTGTCCCCCCATGCTTACACATGTAAAGCGCCCCTGTCCCCCCATGCTTTCACATGTAAAGCACCCCTGTCCTTCCATGCTTACAGGCAAATGTGAACACATACGGAAGTCCCGCACGCCTATGTAAAGTGATCACACCAAACTTGTGAGGTATCGTTGTGAACGTCAGAGCAAGAGCAATATTTCTATCACCAAACATCCTGTGTAACTCTAAACTGGTAATCTGTAAAGGCGTTTTTAAAACTGTCGCCTATGGAGAACTTTAAGTACCGTAATTTATCGCCATTCCACGGTCATATGCAATTTTAAAGCGTGGCATGTTAGGTATCTATTTACTCAGCATAAAATCAGCTTTTATATTTTACTGAGCAATTGGGTATTATATTGTGCGTGTGTGTAATAAAAGTCATTAATGTGTATTATTTCCAGAAAAATTGCAATTGAAAAAACTACTGTGCAAATACTGTGCGACATAAAATATTGCAACACCCATCATATTATTCTGCAGGACCTCTGCTAAAAAATATATATCATGTTTGGGGGTTCTAAGTAATTTTCTAGCAAAAATGTTTATTTTTACATGTATGTGAGAAGTGTCAGAATTGGCCCAGTAGGGAAGAGGTGTATTTTAAAAAGTTCTGGGTTGTTATTTCCTACTAAAAATCTGAAGATATGTTGACTACCCCAAAAACACATGTTTGTGTGTGATTACTTTGTATTAGGCTCTATGCACGCTTCTTCTACAGGAGTTTTGTGTTTTTCCTGTAGAAGCAGCTCAGTGTTATCCTATGTCCAATGTTCATGCACATTAGGACAATTAGAGGCATAGTTTAAGCTCAACGTTTAGGCCCCATATGCACTGCAGCTGATAAATTCACGTTTAGGAGCTGTTCAGCGTTTTTTTCAGCAGCCCCTGAACTCACCCTAATGTTTTCCTATGTGTCCGAATACACATCATCGTTTACAGGCAGTTGAGTTTAGTCATTTTTTTGAATGCAGAAAACTTGCGTTCAGCAGATTGTATCAGCATTTCAAACGCAAAACGCTTGTAAATGCGTGTAAACGTGGCTAAACGCGTATAAGCGTTTGAAATTTTTTTTTAACTCTTCCATTTCCAGATGATGTCCAGAGCCTTTTTTCATCATGAAAAATGCATGCAAAGTGTGTTCCCTGTACTCAAATGGACCTGGTACACCATACTTTCAGGTTTTGCATGAAAAACATATGTTAGACACTGCTGCAATAATTTCTGAACAAACACCACAAAAAAAAAAAGACAGCTAATCTCAACAAATACTGCTCTCTCTATAACTCTCAAAATGTCTGAAATGGTTAATTTTTTACTGTTTACAGTGCATTCTGGGCATTTTGGAAAGTCTCCTGAGGATATCTTAAAAAAACGATTCTAAGCGCAAATGCTCATAAACGTGCATACCCGCAGTATTCAAACGCGGCTAAAGAAGTTTTTTAACCCCTTGACGCCGATGTCACAAAAATATGCGGCCTCACGGAACTGGGCTTTTTTCTGTGGGGCTGCATATTTGCGTACCTGTCTTTGTGCTGGGAGTGCACTGCCCATCGTGCTCCCAGCACACAGACCACGGTGTCATTGAGAACCCCGGGTCCCGTTCCAATGATCGGGACCCGGGACTCCCGATTCCGGGTCACATGATTGCTGTGATAGCCTCTGATTGGCTATCACAGTGATCAGCCACTGTACAGCCCAGCCCCCTTGCTTTTTTCTCTCTCTATGAATGGAGAAGAGAGATACATTGTATCTCTCTAACTCCTGGCATAGAGAGAAAAAAAAATTTTGTTAAAAAAAAAAAAATAAATAAATATTAAAAAATAAAAAGAAAAAATACCTAGATCAAGGTTTGATCTAGTTCAGTGCCAGGGTTAGTGTTTGGGTCAGGGTCAATGGTCAAGATCAAAGGTCAGGGTCAAAGGTCAGGATTTAAAAAAAAAATTGGTGTCAGTTAGTGTTAATGTCAGTGTCAGTGTGTTTTAGGTAAAAAAAAAAAAGACAAAAACAAAGTGCGCACTATTGTTTCTAGGCTGTACTATGGGTACAAACAACAAATAACACACACATATATAGTATCGCTGCGATCGTCAAAAGCTGGAGAATATATTTTGGGTTGTTTTTTGGTGGTAGGTTATGGTCGTAACAAGAAACACACAGCTAAATAAAAAAAAATTATTTTTTTTTATATTTTGGGCCAGTTTTCCTTTGATAATAAAAAAAATCAGGAGCTATCCATTACCATTTACCACCAAATGAAAGCCCAATTTGTCCTGAAAAAAACAAGCTATAATTCACCTGGATGCACATAGTAGTTGTGGTGACATGTATGGTTTTACTATCACATGTAAACATTGCAGAATTGTGCTTAGACATTTAGATTTGTTTTACCCTTAGGCGTGAAGGGGTTAATCTACGTTTTCCAGCAGTCAGTTTCCATCGTTCAGAAGTGTCCCGTGTACATGGGGCCTAATCCTTCTGTATTGCGTTTTTGATTGGAGTTTTCTGGCAGAAAAAATGCTAAACTCTCCTAAAGTGTGTACAAATACACTCTATATCAGCGTTTTTTTTCTGCCAAGGGAACTGCCGTTTTTTTTAAGCCCAGTGTGCATGGAGCCTTAGCCTTAACTTTGCAAAGCTTTTCCTTACAGACTGACAAAATATGACACATCTCAGTGCTGAGACATACTTTCCACCTCCTTCCACCTGTGGGTTATTTCCTTATTAGGTCTTGTCAGCTTAACCTAAGTATTTCCGCTCAGCTTTTATAAAGATACACTCAGTGAAACAATGAGAAGAGCAGGCATGAAATAAAATGAAAATACACCCCTACAATTCAAGTAAACAGTCCACTTGGAATTTCCATTCTTATGAGAAGATTAGGAGTCAGTGGGGTTTATTTACTAGCAGCTAATAGGCTGTTCACTTTGCAAGGAAGGTTGCCATGTGCAAGGGAATTTTTCCCAGAGCTTAGATTTTTTTTCCTTTAAGGTGAAGCTCTGTGCAAGAAACATTTTTATTTTCCTTGCATGTTATTGGGTATTCTTTGCAAAGTAAAACTTCACAAAGCTCTGGAGTGCAAAGTGCAACATCCCCAGTAAAGTGAACAGCCTATTTGCTTTTAGTAAATAAACCACAATGTTTTCACCAGAGTTATGATATGCAAGTGCTAAGAATGAGGTCTTACCCTCCAAAAAACAAACTGTTTTGTTGATACAAAGGGGTTAATTTACTAATTGCACTGGTGAGACTTTGGGGTGGATTTAATAATTGCAAATAGACTTAAATAGACTTAACTTCGCAAGGGAATTTTCTCATGGCTTAGTGAATGAAGTGAAATTTCACTATGCAAAGATCAACCAATCACTAACCAGAAAATGTTTTTAAAATGTTTAAAAATTCACATCCACGTGATTGGATGAAGTCAGAAAAGCTTCACCTCATTTACTAAGCTAAGAGAAAATTCCCTTGCAGGCCTAATTGCATTTTAGAACTCAACCCCGAGGCTGCATTCACATGTGAGCGTTTTGTAGCTTGCGGCTTGAAGTTCGAAGATCAAAAAAAGCTCAAACTTAAAAATGAAATTGTTCTCTATGGTGCCTGTTTGCGCGACCAGGTGTGAACAGGCACCACAGAGAACAATTGATTTTTTAAATTTAGCTTTTTTGAGCTTCAAGCTACAAAACGCTCAAGTATGAACGCAGCCTAAAGTCTCACCAATGCAAGATAGACATTAATTAAACATATACCGTATTTTTTGCTCCATAAGACGCACTTTTTTTACCCCAAAAAATGGGGGGAAATGTCTGTGCGTCTTATAGAGTGAATATGGAGCAGCTGGCCCGGTATTCCCCCCATGTTAGAATACTAGGCCGGCCGCTCAGCTCTTCTCTGCAGACCTCCAGTGGTCCTACCTGTTCCTCAGTCCAGCAGTGTCCTCAGTCTTCTCTCCCCAGCTGTGACAGCTTGCAGCTTCAGAGCCGGGGTGCCCACTGCGCATGCGCGAGAAGAGCTGCGCTTTGTGAATGACCCCGTAATCTGCTAGGACCTGTCACGTGTCCCAGAAGATTTTGGGGAGGGAGGGGGAAGGACAGCTCCATGGAAGTGGGAGCAGGCACCTGTCAAATTCGGGTACCCACTCCCCAAAGGTCCTGGTCATCTCCTGTAGTATGTCCGCAGTTTCTGGTGTTCTGTACTATGTCTGCAGTCTCTGGTCATCTCCTATACTATGTCCGCAATCTCTGGTCATCTCCTGTACTATGTCCGCAGTCTCTGGTCATCTCCTATACTATGTCCACAATCTCTGGTCATCTCCTGTACTATGTCCGCGTCTCTGGTCATCTCCTGTACTATGTCTGCAATCTCTGGTCATCTCCTGTACTATGTCTGCAGTCTCTGGTCATCTCCTGTACTATGTCCGCAATCTCTGGTCATCTCCTGTACTATGTCCACAGTCTCTGGTCATCTCCTGTACTATGTCCGCAATCTCTGGTCATCTCCTGTAGTATGTCCACAGTCTCTGGTCATCTCCTGTACTATGTCCACAGTCTCTGGTCATCTCCTGTAGTATGTCCACAATCTCTGGTCATCTCCTGTACTATGTCCGCAGCATCTGGTCATCTCCTGTACTATGTCCACAATCTCTGGTCACCTCCTGTACTATGTTCGCAATCTCTGGTCATCTCCTGTACTATGTCCGCAATCTCTGGTCATCTCCTGTACTATGTCCGCAATCTCTAGTTATCTCCTGTACTATGTCCGTAGTCTCTGGTCATCTCCTGTAGTATGTCCGCAGTATCTGGTCATCTCCTGTACTATGTCTGCAATCTCTGGTCATCTCCTGTACTATGTCTGCAATCTCTGGTCATCTCCTGTACTATGTCCGCAATCTCTGGTTATCTGCTGTACTATGTCTGCAATCTCTGGTTATCTGCTGTACTGTGTCCACAGTCTCTGGTCATCCCCTGTACTATGTCCACAGTCTCTGGTCATCTCCTGTACTATGTCTGCAATCTCTGGTTATCTCCTGTACTATGTCCACAGTCTCTGGTCATCTCCTGTACTATGTCCACAGTCTCTGGTCATCCCCTGTACTATGTCCGCAGTATCTGGTCATCTCCTGTACTATGTCTGCAATCTCTGGTTATCTCCTGTACTATGTCTGTAGTCTCTGGTCATCCCCTGTACTGTCTGCAGTATCTGGTCATCTCTTGTACTATGTCCGCAGTATCTGGTCATCTCCTGTACTATGTCCGCAGTATCTGGTCATCTCCTGTACTATGTCCGCAGTATCTGGTCATCTCCTGTACTATGTCTGCAATCTCTGGTTATCTCCTGTACTATGTCCACAGTCTCTGGTCATCTCCTGTACTATGTCCACAGTCTCTGGTCATCCCCTGTACTATGTCCGCAGTATCTGGTCATCTCCTGTACTATGTCTGCAATCTCTGGTTATCTCCTGTACTATGTCTGTAGTCTCTGGTCATCTCCTGTACTATGTCCGCAGTATCTGATCATCTCCTGTACTATGTCCGCAGTCTCTGGTCATCTCCTGTACTGTGTCCGCAGTCTCTGGTCATCCCCTGTACTGTCTGCAGTATCTGGTCATCTCTTGTACTATGTCCGCAGTATCTGGTCATCTCCTGTACTATGTCCGCAGTATCTGGTCATCTCCTGTACTATGTCCGCAGTATCTGGTCATCTCCTGTACTATGTCCGCAGTATCTGGTCATCTCCTGTACTATGTCCGCAGTCTCTGGTCATCTCCTGTACTGTGTCTGCAATCTCTGGTCATCTCCTATAGTATGTCCACAGTATCTGGTCATCTCCTGTACTATGTCCGCAGTCTCTGGTCATCTCTTGTACTATGTCCGCAGTCTCTGATCATCTCCTGTACTATGTCCGCAGTCTCTGGTCATCCCCTGTACTATGTCCGCAGTCTCTGGTCATCTCCTGTACTATGTCTGCAGTCTCTGGTCATCTCTTGTACTGTGTCTGCAGTTTCTGGTCATCCCCTGTACTGTGTCTACAGTCTCTGGTCATCTCCTGTACTATGTCCGCAGTTTCTGGTCATCTCCTGTACTATGTCCGCAGTTTCTGGTCATCTCCTGTACTATGTCCGCAGTCTCTGGTCATCTCCTGTAGTATGTCCGTAGTCTCTGGTCATCTCCTGTAGTATGTCCGCAGTCTCTGGTCATTTCCTGTGGTATTTCCCGCAGTCTCTGGTCATCTTCAGCACTATGTCTGCAGTCTCTGGTCATCTCCTGCACTATGTCTGTAGTCCATTGGTTCAGAATATTTTTTTTCCTGATTTCCTCCTCTAAAATCTAGCTGCGTCTTATGGTCAGGTGCATCTTATGGAGCGAAAAATACGGTAGTTTCAATTATTTCAAAACCTAATATTGTTAAACTGATAAATCCAGTAATCCCCTTACAAATATTTAACCATATGCAGGCCATAGATGGGTCGTTTATCGGCCGAATTTTTGTCCAAAAGAATAATCGGCCGACATTCGCACCGTTAGTGGGCAATGTTGTCAGACGATTTTTGCGGTTCCTTCTTGTTTCTTTTATCGGTCATGCTGGAAAATCTACGAAAAACGGCTGATTTTCGCAAGCATTGGTGGCAACAGAATGACCGGTTTTTTCGTTTTTCAGCAATTCAGCCGATAAACGACCCATCTATGGCCTGCATAAGGGTTTACAATTATTAAAAAGAATTTAGGTGAAAATAAGAGGAATACATTGTAAATATATGTCAGCTTGTAGAAGTGACGTTTAACATAAGAATACACTTTTAAAACATTTTGTGCAGAGTCTCCTTGCACAAGTCATTGCTCGCTGGTGGATTCATGACTAATCTCTAGTTTGCATCTATGCTTCAAAAGCAGGTCAGCAGTGCAGTTGCATCCTAGGATAGAATAACATCAGACCAACAAAAGAACGGGGGCTTTCCTAAAATACATTTAAAGAGTCACTGGGGTTAAATTACAAAAGGCTGTCAACTTTTCAGAGAATTTTCAGTTAGCTTGCTGAATTTGGTAAAAAATCACTTTTAAAAGAATACCTAATCATATACAAGGAAAAAAATACAAAGTTTTTGCTTGCAAATGAATGGATGATGGAAGTCAACAGAACTTCACCTCATTCACTAAGCTAAGGGAAAATCCCCTTCAAAGGAATGTTTAGCTGAACCACGGCTAATATAAATTTCAAATTACTGGTCTACATTGCCATACCCTTACATTGAAGCAAATAAAATATGTGCAAATATGAAAATGACACCCATGTAAACAAATCAGATTTCTTGTAGTTGTTTAAGAGCGCCAGCTCTGCCTTTTCAGTAAGGCCTTGAGCTATATTACCCCCCACCCTTTCTTGTTTCCCACTGAAAGGGATCAAGGGGGCTCTCAACACTCTCTCTGCTTGCAAAGACTTCTTATAACTGGTACTATCTGGGCCAACAGAGCAAAGACAAGTTCTTGGTTATAGTTATTATTACCTAGTCTCCAATAGTTTAGTTTTTATGGCACAAAAAAGGTTATACCATTATTTCTATACAAACATAGCAAGACAAATCCTAAAAGCCAAATAGGTCATGTGCCTACAAAAATGACAACTAGTCTAACATAAATGGCACATGTCTCACATTTAGGGGTTGGACAAAAAATGGAAACACTGCATGATTTGCAGGTGTGAAAGTGACGACATGTTTTGCTTTGAAAGCAGAAGTGATGTAACATACATTTGCTTCTGCTGTGTGATGAGACACCCTAACTAACAGGTAGGAAGCCTCACATTTGTCATTCACTGCGTGCGATGCTAGTAATACAGACACTGTATTACTATTATGTCAGAGCTTAGTAAGCTTCAAAGAGAGCAAATTGTTGGTGCCCGCTTAGCAGCTGCCTCTTCGACTGAAATTCCAATTTATTTGCCGTGTCACAAGGTACAGTATCAAAGGTTATGACGGTATATAAAGTTTCTGTGAAAATGTCATCTGATAAATATAAGCATGGTCGACATGGTCAACTGACTGAAAGAGACAACAGGACACTAGACAGGATTGTGACTTGGAATAGGAAAACAACTGCTGCAAAAGTGACTGTAGAGCTCAATCTCAGTCTTCATGAGACCTTTTTTGTAACTTTTGGATAACTGTACCAATATTCAGTGGCATAGCTGGGAAATGGCACTACAAAGTAATTTATTGGGCTATGCTAAACACTGAGCTCCAATTTTGGCGCTTAGGCAAGTCACCCCTTGCCCCACTGTTTAATATGCTGTATCAATAGCCCATTGTAATTTATTACATTGGACAATGTGAGAGGAGGTCATTTTCAAGCCCTGAAGACCAGAAAACACATCAAAGAGTGCTGCCTGGTCTTGTCTAATCCAGGGTCTACTGCATCCAGACCCACCACACAATGGTCTTGCCTGCCAAGCCAAAACAAAACATTGACAGCAAGCAGTGGGATTTATATGTAAGTCTGGAAATTGGAATTACCTGCCAGGGCAACAGGCTATAATCACAGAGATGAGTCAGAACAATTCCTGCGCTGCTACTCACTCTTCTCCGCCCTAATTTATGCTGTGCTGAGAATCAATTCCTACATGTTATACATCAGGTATAACATGATCAGTGCAATCAAATTTCTGTAAAGATTTGTTAAATACATATTTTCATGACAATTGTGACTATATTACATTCTCGTCACTGGTCATTGTGATTACACAGCATGCTATTTTAGCACTCTTCAGCTTAGCCATTACATTTTTTGTGTTAATCGTAAAGCAATCAAAGACATTCCATAGTAAAATCAAAGTGCTACAGGACTACTGTAACCTTTTGCGGTTTCAATATTTTACAAATTCAATGGCTATTTTCTTTCAGTGATTTTTTTCAATAAACTTTATCGAAATTTAGAACTGTACAGACAAAAATGTTGGTCTTGAGTGAAATACAAACTAATCAAATTATATTATTGTGCATCAAAAAAGTACATTCAATCAATACAAACCCAGTTTTAACTTCACAATCAATTCTGGTGGTCAGTCAAACTCATGGCTACCACCATTCTGCTCATTGCTTAATTTCTGGTGAATACTTTCTTCAAACACATTTGCAACACCCAGAGAATAGCAAGTGGCTGAAGTTGACACAAAATTGCCGCACATATGGAAAAAAAAGTTGTTGTTTTTCTAATCTTTATTGGGTCAAATCAATGTTTGCTTTCAACTGCACTGATGAGAAAATTCGAAGGAGCAAGATGTAAGTTTGTTTTTGAAAGAACACATTTCTAACAGTGTATGTGGTTTTCCTTTGGTAAAGCCTATTGATTCCAAAATCAAATGTTAAAAGCAAACAAAATCTATCAAATGACATTTGAATGTTCTGAGAATTTTTGTAAAAATCTTAAGATTTTTCCTAGGCATTTTTGTTCAAAATTCTATCCATCTATAACTGGATATTTGCCTTATCAGTGACAAAGGTATCTGGTGCTAAAGCTATATGTTCCCCGCTCTAAGATCTTACAATACAATATATCAGCGGCAAAAGAAATAACTGTATAAAAAATGTAAAAAGATATATTCAGTGTATCGATGTACTGCATTAT